TTATTAGTTCAAACAACCCATGTTATTGATCAAAAAGCAATACCTTATCGTTAGTCATATTATAAAAATTAAAAAATGGCTTTTGGAAATTTTCCTCCTTATGCAATGATTTCCAGTTTGGTAAAAAAGCTTTCATAAGTTGATCTTACTATGGGCACGTATTGAATTTTATTTAGTGTTAAAAATCATTTCTATGGTATATGTACATATTTTTACAGTTTTTAAAATACTTCAGAAATTCATTATCTCATGCCACAAGGCATGCATAAAATAAGCTTATTTCCTTGTACTATTATTAAGCTGTCCAGAAGAAGCCTTTTTTTGACAATGGATCACTGAAAGTTATGCTGTATCTTTCTGTTAATTAGAAAATAATTTTGGATAATAAAATAAATGTATTAGAAAAATATTATATTAAAATGATATTTTAAAACACATAATTAAATTAATGTATTAGAAATCTGTAATTTAAAGCAAACCTTCGTTCTTCTTCAACTACATATTCATTTCCGATACCCAAAGGCTAATTCCATCATAATAACTTGTATTTTAACTCGTCATTATTCAGCAAAACTTTTTGATTAAAAAATTCTGTATTCGTCCTTTGTGATAAAAGCCCAAGATACGAACCTCCACCATCTGCAAAATGCATGGCTCTCTTTGTACAGGATCTCTGTGGCTGTTACTGGAAGCCTAGAGTATGTTCAAGCAGTAGTAAATAGGCTTCCTTATTCTCTGTTTATTTAGTGTGTGATATATTTGTTTGTGTGTGTGTTTATTTGATAGTGTGTCTGTATAAATACTTTTGTCTGCCATTGGAAATAAAAATATATGCATTACAAATCCGAGTTATTAAGTATATTAAGGCTGTTTACATTTTTCATTCCAAAACATATATTCAATTAAAATACATTATGCAATTTGTGTTCATCTACATTTGTTAATGTTTAATTAATGCCAACAGAAACATGTTCGCATAAATTCCTCTAAGTAATTTAAACATGAGGTTGTTTAAGAAGGCCATTTTTTATCCATTCATTTATTGAAATATTTGCATTACTTCTTATATATTAAAATTTACATATATTATGTACTTTTTTCAGTAGACAATCCAAGAATATTCTATATGTTAAAATGTATGGTATATGCAATAATTCCCCCCCCCCCCCCCCCAAAAAAAAAAAAAAAAAAACTTATCCTCTATTTGTGATCTTATTATCTGATTGTGTCTTCTTCAAAATACACAAATAATCTGATGGAATGAAAATATTTTGGTCATTAAAACTTTTTAATCACTGCTCTTTACATCTACATTTCTTTTTTCACATAATCTGAAGTTTTCGAGTAGTCTGAAGGTTTTCAAACTGTGTTTCACAGAAATTTTAGATACCATGCAACTCCTCTAGGGCATCTGTAAGTCAAAATTTAAAACAATTTTTAATATCACTGGACATCAAAATGAAATACTTGAAATAATCTTTGAAATTCTCTTATTATTGTTAAAAAATATTAAGCAGATTTTTGTTTATGATTAAATTTATAATGAAATAATGAATTTCTTTTTACTTTCTGCATAAAATGCACAAATTTTATATTTCAATTCTTTAACATTTATTTTTCTGAGGATAGAAATTCTTCTATAGAAAAAATTACGATTTTAGAAGTTTTTCTGAATTTAAAGATTTGAAGACAACCCTGTTATAAGGGTTTACGATTATAATGTGAATGACCCAAATAATTGTAAATGGCCTATGGCCATACTTAATACACATATTATTTAAATTGACATGCTTTACCTGTAATGTACATTTGTGACTTATGTTATAATTTAAGTGCACCAGTTTACTCACACTTATCTGTATTGTATGTATGTATTATATGCATCTCTAGACTCAGGTTAAAGCTAGCTCGTTTCCCCTTTCTCAGCTTTCCCAGATGACATTTTTGGGTCTTTACTGGAACTCGACGCACACTTTATTTCGGCTAGAATAACCACTTATCTCACTCTTCTTTTATTCAAAAATTATAACATACTAATTTGGGGAAAAAAAATTATATTTTATGTTAGTTACTCATGACAACATTCGAAACAACCTACATGTTCGACAAGGGGTAGGGGTCTAGGAAAGCCACAACTTTTTCAATGAACTGGATGAATAAATGCAGCCCTGCCTTTTGTTGTGTTTTATGCATTTATAAATTTCTACCTGACTGTTTATTCTTTAATTCTATATAACACAATTAATCGATGCTTGTTTCTTGTATGGAATTTTAACATTAATTCTACATAATAACATGAGTAATCTTTTTTTTTTTTAAATTGTATTTTAGCATTATTAAAAAACACTTTGGCACTATGAACTGAGAATATCTGTCAATCTGTCTTCTACGTTAATTTACAATATATATAAATGTGAATATCTGAATGGAGTTATATTGAAAGATCTACTGGATGCTATGATTCCATGATGGTCAATCCACCACATTGGAAATATTAAATCAAACAATAAGTACAGGAAAAGATTCAGCAAGACAATATATCCTCTTTTGAATGAATACATTTAACTGTAGTTATTCCATATGATGTATTATACAACACCCCAAAATCATGGAAAATAACTTTCTAAACCGAGTTTACAGTGTAAAAAAAGTAGTGGAAAAATGTTGTAGTCATGTAACTGGGCTATCTAACATAAAAATTACAGCATATTACACCAGTGTTCTTACCTTTACTGCATATTACAACCAAATAACTACAATTAGATATGAGAAAGAACAGGCAGTGTCAGTACAACCAAGAGTAAAACTTTTACAGAGTTGCTAATTTGAAAACAAGTGAACCTGTAAAACTAACCCTGCATACTGGTTTGCTTTAGATGCATTTGGTAACCAATATGCCGTAAGTCTTTACCAGATTCAGTTTTGAGTGCATTAAATACTATATTGCTCATATGTCTTGATCGTGACAATCAATGCAGCTGCAGCATTATTGAATAGAAATAAGTTATATATGACTCTCAAATAAGTGTTTGTAAAGTTGTTCAGGAAATAAATATTACTAAATAATAACATGTATTATGTTTATTGAATTGTACAAAACTTATATGTTATACTTTGAATTATCGTCAATTTTAATTGTCTGAAATCTGGTATTTGATAGTATATAGTTGTAGCAGTTTTTTCACTATAAATTCTGAAGAATCCGAAAATAAATGCACATACTAAAGTATTTCAAGTATGATAATATTCAGTATTTAAGATTATCCTAAAAGTATGAAATTTATTATTTTATTTGAAAATAAGTATTAGTGTATCCATGGCATGCAGGTCCCCGAGATTACTCTATTATCCACTCATAGGTGGGGGTGTCACCTTTGCCAAAGGCTCTTTGTAGCCTGCTTTAGGTTTTATACTAATTTTAATTACTGGCTGGCCATCTACTGAAATGGTTTCTTTATGTATATCCACCTTTATTCCATTTCCACTCTGGTATTTCTACGGCGATGGAGGTTTAGTTGACCATACTTCTTGACAATTCTTTTACTTTTTTTTAGTTTAATTTTTTTTTCAATTTGAAGCGGTAGACCAGTATTTTCATCTCGCATAACTGTTTTTGAAGCAGACTCGAAAATCTCCTTCAAAGAGTTGGCTACATTGTGTAAATTTTCGCTATCTAAATTCCAAAGGAGTGACCGAATTGATCTGTAATTTGCATCGCACTCATTGATCAAATTTCTTTTTTTACTCAACGTTGCTTCTTCAGATATGGTGGGTAAATTATCTGATGTTCCACCTGAAGGAGTTTCAGTTGATGAATATTTTCGTTTTCTGGTGCCTGAAATACTTCTTGAGACTAAATCTTCATCAACTTTGAAAATAGGTGTTGAAAATAGCCATTCTGCAGTACATTCCAAACTCCAGGCTGGAAACTTCATTCATGCCAGCAAACACAATATGCTTGCACAGCAGTCGGTTTCTTCTGAAATCTAAGCATGTGCATTGACACAGTTGTTTCTTCTGTTCATCAAACGTGACAGAATAAACTGCATCATGCTTAGTTTCAGAAGAAACTTTAAAGAAGCCATGTGAAATTTTTTTTTTATGCTACCCACATAAACTTCAGCAGCTCTTAATTTTGTTTTTATGTGATCAATTAACCATTTTGGCTTATTGATTAAATAATTTGGTACATGTTCATTGTATAATCTGGCCTGCGACAGCATACTCAGATTTTTTCTGACGTAAATTCTATATCTTTCTGGCAGAAATTTCTCAAACAAGATCTTAATTATTTCAGACAGCATACAGTTTTTATATCCCTGAAGATATCTATATTTTAGTTCCTCATTTAAGCGTTCAACACCATTGTTCGAGTTTATGAATAAGTCATTTGGTTTGTAAGCCAAAGCCCATCTCTCAATTTCCTTGAACCATGTTAATTCAAAATAATCTTTCACAGCTTCATATTGGTTCCATGATTTTAATACCTCTATTGCTGCAACCATTTCATCTTGAGTTGGAGCATTTGCTATGGCACGTAATTTACACAAAAGCTCTTCTTTGGGAACCACTGCATTCTTTTTCTTAGAAGCCCATCTTGACCATGCCTGCTCTCGATGGAAACTACATATAAAAACCTTAATTCCTGTAAAGACATTTTCCAAACTTGTAATTTCTTCCATTGCAAAATCAACCATCCCATATTTTGGTCTAACGAGAGGCGACCAATTTTTAATAATTATAAGAGCTTCTTCTAATGCTTTGGCTGTTTCATTTTGTGTAATTATTATGCTCACTATTTGATAGTTCACATTTGTTTTGACAACTAAAAAATAAAGTGGGAGAGCATACTTACAGGTTCGATAGGTCGCGTCGAGAAGAACAAGATTAGAACCATATAAGACATATAAATTTTTCATTTCTTCACTTTGATATACAAATAGCAGATTTAGTTTTGAATCTGTAAAGTCATTTGGCTCAGTACCATCATATGTATTTTCAGTACATGGTCTAAAAAAAACAGAACACTTGGAAGTATCCCAGCTATTTATTAACATTTCTGTATTTTCCTGGTCAATTTTACTAGTTCTAATATCGGATTTTGCTTGGCTTATTATTTTCCTTATTGCCTCCATTTCTGGATAAAATCGTCTGCGCGTTTTATCAGTTTCTCCCAATTCAGTTGAAACGTATACTTCTAATAGCTCTGCAATTACAGTGGCATTGCATTTTCCATTCTTAACTTTAGAAGCTATGAAATGCCGCACTCTAGCATCTATAGGTTCTATTACTGCAGCCATGTTACCCATTAGATGATTTTGATGATCTTGGCTATTAGGTAAATTAAACATGAAAACTTCTTCACCAGCAATACTATCTTTATTGGCTAGTTTTTCCTTAATTTTCCGAGATATCATAATCTTTCTTTTTCGGGTTGGCACTACCTGTAATTTAAACATATTTATCACAGTAAAATTTAGAAATTCCAGCACAGTCATCTAAAACTAATTATTGATAAAGGTTCAATTTTAAAAACTTTCTGTTCATAGCAAATTATTCAAAAAAAAAAAAAAAAAAAAAAAAAAGAGGAGTCATTTCTCATTTCTTTCCTTTAAAAAAAGCTGTAAAAAGGATCTTCCATTTTTATAACAATAGATCAAATTACTTCTTCAAAGAAACATAACCAATAAAACTTCACTTTGAACAACTTGTTTTATTTGCATCAAAAAGCATATTAGTTATTAAACTATTAAAAAATCAAAAATATTTGAAAAATACCTTTTCAATACATCTTGCTCATACGTGACAGAATTATATTTTTTTCTTTTAAAAAAAAATTCTCTAAAATTACTAAGACCATCTTAGAACAAAAAGTTAAATAAACTTCTACCTTGAACTGAGGCATCCTGTACATTCGGGTAACATTAATTACAGCTGGACAATTAACTTTTTTAGTTGTCTGGTTCTTGGAATATGCTTTACCAAAAGCATGATCAGTTTGACACTAAAAGAAAAAAAAAAAAAAAACACACACACATATATATATAATCCAAGAGGTGATATTTTTGTATAAATTTTTAAATATAACAATGTTATTTTACCTTTTCATTTTTTTCTTTAGCATAATTTTCCTTTTGACGTTTATTCAGATCTTTTCCTTGATGGCAAACATAGGTTTTTCGCCCAAAGTGGAAATAGGGAATATCATCTAACCAGTTTAATCGTAAATCTGGAGTTAGTTCAACTGGAAAGAAAATTTTGATTTAGATCACAATCTGATAAGCTTTGATTTTTAAAAGAAAGAAATTACAGATCTCTATAAACATATTATACATTTAACATTATACTTTGATTTTTAAAAGAAAGAAATTACAGATCTCTATAAACATATTATACATTTAACTGTCTCTATATATACTACATACTGTAGACACTGCTTAATGTATTGCAGCTGATGTCGTGTATATTGCTATTGAATTTCTAAGTTCTGCTCTTTCATATATGGAAACATAAAAAATGCATCATTTGCTGTAATTTTATTTGCTCAATTTGGTTAATATAATCAAAATATTATACAATAAATTTCTTAAACTGAAGAACGAAAAATGATTTTAATCAAGCATTTAGAAAAAAGCGCAAAACAATAAAATAAAAATAAAAAAAAAAACTTAATTTCATACGAATTTTCAATAGCTATTGATTTGGAAGGGCTTCAGCACAGTTCCCTCTTCTTCAAAAGGGAGGTAAAAATTCCTGAAAACATCTTTGCCAAAATACACTTGCGTTTTTGCCCAATTTCAGATTTTACATTGGCAAAATCTCTTTAAACAAGGATGCCCTCCAAGTATTAAGATTATAGGTATAGAATTGGTCCAATAAATTTCAGAAACATTATTATGGACTACTCAAATGAACTTTTGCAATGAAGACTGTAAACAATTGATAAACAAACTTTTATTTTTCCTAATTAAAATGTTAAGAAAGTGGCTAGTTATATTTATAGTTAATTCAATTCCTATTTTAAAAGATACTTTTCTCATCATCTTATATTATCAAAAATGGGCAAATGTAATCACATTAAGCAGCACCTACTGCAAACATAGAGAGATATTAAAAGCATTAAACTATTATGTAAAAAAATTATGTCATTTTGTCTCATATTAAAATTATATATGCTAGGTAAATAGGTAAAGTATAGAATGAGCTAGCTGCCTTACGCAAAAGGGATGCCTTTGAGAAGGTCTAATGGGAAACTGTCTTGTATTCACTTATATATAAGGAGAACAGGAAAATTCCCATGCAGCTAATCCATTCAACAGTATTTGTACCTTGATCAAACATCCAGTATTCAGCTATCTTATCTGCTAGTCCATTGGTGCTAAGAGTCAAAATAGACAGTAATGTGATTTTACACACAAGATAAGTAGCATTCATTGACTAAAGAAATATATATACATTTCAGAAAACTTTCCTGTTTTCTAAAATTCAATATCTTTATTATTATAACTTCCTGATATTTCAATGCATTATAATTTTATGGTGAACTATTACCTGAAAATAAAACAGAATATTTTTTGAATTGGTAGTGTTTATTATAAGGTTATTTTGAAACATGTTGTTAATGATAAAACTAAAGAATGGATTTTCTTTATAGACTATTAAATGATTATATTTCAAATCAACAGACTGCATTCATACACTAAAATAGGATGAAAAATATAGTAGTCATCGAGACAATTGTCGAGTTTCTCAAGAAACAACAATAAAAATTTTCAAATCTAACACGGTATATCTTGTTTAATGTTTAATATAGTACGGAATGTTTCGTGAAGCATCAGCTATTAAAAAAAAAAAAAAAAAAAAAAATGCAATACCTGACAATGAAACCAAATAAAAATCAAACATAACGCTATTACACGTTATGCAACAAAATTAATGAATATGAACGTCTATAAACCCTTTTTTCAACTTGGACCGAATCTCGCAACATCAACTAGATCTTACGCAATAAAATTAATACAAATTAGTGCTGATAAGTTCTTTGGAACAAAATGGCCAAATATCAACTAAACAACCAAAGAAAGCATTTACATTCTAGAGGATTTTTATTTACTCATTACATCTTCAAAAATTACTTACTCTCTTTATCGAATGACTTTCCATAGTAATAAACATATTTTGTTACAGTTTCTACTTCGTGTCTGCGAAGTATTTCTTTAAATTCGCTCCAAGATTTCGCAAAATTCATTTTGCCTCTAAACACAAAGGTTCATACACGAGACGGACTTTGAAACTCGTAATCGATAAACCGGCCATTCCCCTATCGTTGACACAAGTCTTTCTATCGATGGGAAAAGGAGACTCTAGGCCATCCGAAAAAGCGGCGACCTTATTTTTAGCGTGATTAAGATAACACTCAAAACACACCCATGAGAAAACCTCGTCTTGTTCAAAGTTATACAAAAAAAAAAAAAAAAAAAAAAAAAGAGCCAATTCTAACTTGAAAACTTCTAGCCTTAAAAAAATTTTGAGTGAAAATTGGAATGTTTTCCACGTCACAGAGCATTTATTTAATTACGGATAAAAGTTAACAGACTAAATAGAGATATAACAGTTGTTTAGCGGCTCCTCGCGCTAGATAAACACAAGGAAATTTTTCATTTTTTTATACAGTCACTTCTTGCCCTCACGGAATCAGAACAAAATCGGAAGTCGATAGCCTCCACCTTCGCGTAGTGTCTATCCTTGTCTGTCTCAGGTACGCAGGCGATGATCTGCCTGTCAGGTAGTGCCCTTTTTAGGCTGCAGAACTTAGCGTTCTTGCACGCACACACACACACACATGTAGTATGTCTATTAAAAACGGTGTCACTTTCTGAAGATTTCCTGATGGATTACTAATTATCAGAAACTGCAGTTTATTTTTTATTCTTGTCAGAATTTGCATTTGTCTTAACTTTTATAGAAATAGGACAATTTTCATTTTGTTCATTTGTTTGTGTATTAGAAGCCATATTTAGTGAAATAAAAGATTCAGCCCAGCCAACCACAGAGTCCAACATAGGGATGCAGATTCCTGCGACAGGGTGAACTGACTTTATACGCAATCTGAAGCCCCACAGTAAGCTTTCCAAAAAGCGGAAACACCCGAAACCACTGATACCAAGGACTAGTGACCAACCGACTGACACTACAGGGGACAGCTAAAAGCCTCCTGTTTTAATCTGAAGCAGAGGGCAAAGTAGTGTGTTGGGGACAGTACCCCACCCCTCAACTACCAGGATCCTCCTTTCCAGCTTTATGGGTGACAAGGCACGGCAAACGCGTAAGCGGTTTCCTGTTCATGAGAAACTGGAAAGAAAGTGATGTAACAGAATCACACATTCAGTCCCAACAACCCGAAAAGGAAACCCACTAAGGTGCAAGAAACGAAAATAGAACAGAAAAGCAGAGACGAAAAAGAAAAGGAAGAAAGATCACTAGGGCTCCAGGATCGCGAATCCCATTTCACCAAGAGGGTGATCTTCTGAAGGATTAGGATACTTTGGGATTGCCACACTCACAACAAGCTCTGAGGGTGCTGTTCAGCTGTTATCATTGTTAAATTTATAAGGTATTTCTCCCGCTTTCCTAGCGTGCCTTCGTGGTGTAGTGGTTCTGCACGCTGGGCTGGTATTCCAGAGGTCCGTGGTTCGATTCTAGGCGGAGACGGTTGCTAATTTTTCATCTCTCTGGCTTCCAGAAAATACCTAATGTCTCTACAAATTGATTAAGACAAAGCACAAGAGGCTATTTCTCCAAAAGATTTAACTTTGTAGAGGACTTTAAAAGGGACTCTGGTGAGACATGGGAAAACACGAAAATCATAAACATCCAAACCAGGTCAAACTACTGGTATTCGGTGGTCCTATCCATCCAGCCATTGGTGGGTGTCAACTGCTGTTCATAGCTCGTTCACTGTGAATTTCTTATTGTATCAAATGATTCCCAGCACAACACAGGATGACTTATATTGTTCAAGCTTCTATCTCCAAGATATAAAAGGTAAAACGTTTACTCATTGATGATTTTCTTGCCTAAAATAGGCATATCTCTGCTTTTCTCAAAGAAATGCCTTTAGAGAGTTCTACACGTCATATATGTAGAATCTCAAAATTAAGTTACACTATAAGGTATTTCTCCCGCCGTCCTTGCTTCCTAGCACGTCATATATGTAGAATCTCAAAATTAAGTTACACTATAAGGTATTTCTCTTCCGCCTTCCTAGCGTGCCTTCGTGGTGTAGTGTTTCTTCTTTCTTCACGCTGGGCCGGTATTCCAGAGGTCCGCGGTTCGATTCCCGGCGAAGGCGGTTGCTAATTTTTCATTTCTCCAGCCTCCAAAAAAAAATCCCAATGTCTGTCTTTACAGTGGTGCCCAAACTAAAAGGGTTGTGGATGATGACTCTCCATACCCAGGATTTGACGATTGTCCCCTAAAAACCCCAGTCGCCCTTTAAAAGGGGGGAGTATATAAGGTATTTCTCCCGCCTTCGTGGTTCTGCACGCTGGCCCGGTATTCCAGAGGTCCGCGGTTCGATTCCCGGCTAAGGCGTTTGCTCATTTTTCATCTTGCCTGCTTCCAAACAAAATCCTAATGTCTCTACAACGCCTGCGAAAAGTGTTATCAATCATATGCTCTTTTTTTTGGGGGGGGGGAACTATTGATCTAGAAATTTTCAGTTCTATCTATCATCGTACAGTCTTAATGTAGAGTCATTAGGATATTTTCAAGCAGGAGACGTGAGAAATAAGCACTGCTCTCACCGGGGACTCGAATCTGGACTTTTCAATGCACCGACTGTGCTAACTGTTACACCACAAAGGCATGCTGGAAGGAGGGAGAAAATACAAATGGTTCATTAGGTTGTAAGATTCTGTAAGTAATCAAGAATATGTGATCGATGACTCATACATTCTTGATATTCAAGTAATGAAAAAAAAGTCTTAAACTTCAAAATTTGTGCATGGAAACTTGCTTGTGATATGTAGCAAAAATATATGCTCTATTTTGAAAATGTGAAGTTACAGTAGAGAAAAGCTTTTGTTTTAGTAAAAGCAAAATAATTATAAATTTTTACTATGCAACACATATGTCAAAGACAAGCATGATTGATATACACTGATGTGCAAAAATTAAGGACAAGATGGTTTTTTCAATATAACTTTGTACAAAAGCTTTCCAAATCAACACATTTAATACCGTAAGATCCCCAATACGTAAGGACATGAGTAATGTACACAACACTTACTAAAAGAGAAATCAGAGGGATAAAAAGAAGCTTTATTGAAAAAGTAGCATGGAGCGCAATGCAACTGAAGGCCGAAACATCCCTTTGATGGGTGTCCAGCAAGAACATCCGGTCTTTAATAGGGGATATGATCTCCCCTGACTGCTAGGCAGGTTTCACAGCGTTTGCCCATGCTGAGAATGAGGGTGTCAATGAGTTGTTGAGGCATTGCTGCCCATTCGTCTTGCAGCGCGCCAATCAAAGCTCCGGAATCGTTACTGGTGGTAAGATACGAGCTGCCAAGCGTCTGCCTAGAAAATCCCATACATGCTCGATGGGATTGAGATCCGGTGATCGTGCCGGCCAATCCATACGTTCAATATCCTCACTCTCTAAGAGCTGTTCGGCAGCTACTGTGCGATGACATGGTGCATTGTTGTCCATGAAAAGGAACTGCGGTCCCATAGTGCCTCTAAACAGACGCACATATGGAAGAAGAATCTCGTTACAATAACGGGTCCCGTTGACTGAACCTGCATCGAAGATGTGAAGGTCTGTACGACTACCAAGCATGATGCCTCCCCAAACGAGAACACCACCACCACCTCCATACCTGTCCCTTTCAATGATGTTCGAGGGATGATTGCGGCTTCCCCGCTATCTCCAGATGAGTATGCGATGAGAATCGCTACTCAGACTGAATCTGCTCTCATCTGTAAAGAGTACTCGTCCGCATTCATTGTCTCTTCCAATTCCAGTGTTCCCGGCACCACAGAGAACACCTTCTCCGATGGGCAGGCATTAGAGGTACACACCGTACAGGGCGTCGTGCAAACAGACCACCACCGTGCAGTCTTCTGGCCATGGTAAAAACGCGATATCGGTCGTCCAGTCGCCTGTGTCGTGTGTGTCTAGCGATTTCTCCCGCTGTCTCCCTCTTCTGGCCTGTAAGGCAATATACCGGTCATCTGCGAGTGTGGTTCCTCGTGGACGACCACTACTAAACCCCCGGATAGCTGTTCCTGTAGTTTGAAATTGTCTCCAAAGTCGTGAAACGATGCTGTGAGCAATTCCGAACTCTGCAGCCACACTTGTCACACTGCGGCCTTCCTCCAACTTCCCAATGATTCGACCTCGGGTAAAAGCATCCAGATGTCGTCTAACAGATTGATTATTCGCCATTTCTCGCTGAGGCAGCAACTCGGTGTGATTTTAACTGCTATAGGGCGTGCAATCTCTTTGCCAGAAATACTGATCTTACACCGACAACATGCTGTATAATACTCAGACACTCCCCCCATTACGTCTACCTGCATATCTGCGCATGTGCTACCATACATCACCTTACTTAATCTCCTGATTGGTCTTTCTGTCCGCTCTGCCTCTTCGTTCAGCTGATATGCTAATTTTTCAACTTCGTCCTTAATTTTTGCACACCAGTGTACACAAAGCATCCTATGACTCTAAGCCTGCAGAGTATCCTATGATGGTATTGACAGTTCAAGAACACTGGCTACTTATATAAAGGCAAGAACCCCAGATGGCCAGTCATTTCCAATGAAACAGTGCAAAAATTTAGTTTCACATATAAATTAGTAACTGAGCTATAGGAAACTTGCATTAGCCCCTTATTAAATTTATATCTAAGCTATAATAGATACAACTTATTCTTTTTGTTTAGACTCAGAAAATGCTGCTGCTGAATCTACACATGCATGTATAATGAATGGTTAACATTCATACCTATTTTTTTAAAACTATTTGAAGAAAGATTTAATTGCAGTTTGTTCACATACAGCTGGTGTGACATTAAGAAGGGAAAAAAAGTAGCTGTAATCAAACTTTTAGATATTTTTCTTAATATTGTAATTTATTACTGTATACTGCTTAGCTTCTTATTTACAGTAGTATCACAAGATTCAGTAAGCAAAACCATTAAAGAAATCATTTTGAAATATTTCTTGATACATTATTTTTATCACCAATCAATGAGATTAACCCTCCAAAATCAATGAGATTAACCTGAGACTGGTAATGGTAAACGTATTGAAATATTTAAAAATTGATATTTTGTGATTTATTGGTAAAAGATATTACGTTTTTCTCATTCATATACAATTATTAGTATTTTCTGTTTTTGTAAAAAATATAACAGTTCATTAGAATTGCATAAGTTGTTTATATAGAATAAAATGCAAACTCTTTGTCAAGTTTTTCATAGCTCATCCACTGCATGTAATCCACAAACAGGATAGGTCTACAAATTACATTAGTAGCAAATATGTGTTCTATAACCAAACATAGGGAAGATTTTGCAATGTTGATTACAACTAAAACCATATTATTTACAGATGCTGCAATATAAATTTTGCAATCGTATGCATGGAAGACAATTCTTCCACTATCTAGTGGTGAAGCATTTGTTGGATAGGTACGTTTGTGTACTGGACATGGAAAATTGTCATGCTGTTACTGAATAGAAATTATATTTACTTGAACATTTTATAT